GCACTTATTGACAAACAAATTTGGAGACTTTTGACAGCCTAAACTTCTGGTAAGAAGAAATCTCAAATCCAAAATACCCCAGACTCAACTATTTTTGCTGCTCATAGGAACGATAATGCTTCTTAGCTCTGGAATAGTTGGTTGATAGTTAGAGATAATCGTGGAAAATGGATGATGTCTGTGATTCATAATGGTAAGGGGACAAGAATTGTGGATGATTTATGTAACGCCCGAAAATTTATTAATAAGGAAAATACTAGCTTTGAAATATAAGCTAGCCTTGTTTAATAAATAATCATGTCAATGTTCAAGATTTAGTTATTCAGCTAAGGTAAATTCCAAGTTCGACGTTAAGTCGAAAGTATATCCGATGAATTTTATTAACCGAGTCAATGATAATAATTAATCTCAGTCCGTTTATTTATAAATGGACGTTATCCAGTTCGGAATTAATAAGTCAAGTTGACGAATTATTCGAAATATCAATATTCGGATTAATCGTCCAAGTCAAGAATGTTAGAATTAATTTTTGAATGTCATGTTCATGCTCGAAATAATTATTAAGTAATTAATTTCATGTGCTATATGTTAATCCATGTCTAATCGCTCGATAAATATTTTACCGAGCTTAATCATGTTTAATTAGAAGTTCATTGCCATGTATTAGAGTTAATCGTGCTTAGCTTAAGCCTAAACACAAGTCATGCACGTCCAATATACCCTATAAGCACGGCAATGCTTAGCTTAGTACCAAGCTAAATTAATTAGTGCATGATCAAGCTTAGGCCAAGCAAATGGCCGTGAGTTATGGTCTCCATCCTTCACATGAGAAATCATCATGACTATAGTACATGTGGAGGCTTGTAGTTCACTTGGGAAAATGACTAAGCAATAGAGGTGATGAGTAAGCAAAGCCACCTTAGGCCTTGATCACGTAGCAAGTGGCGCTCGGCTATTGGCCGAGACTTTCCTCTCAAATTTCACTACGGTTTAGCTTCTATAAAATCTTAAAGTTGGAGAAAAAAATTCAGTTACTACTTCAGTTACTAACTAAGCAAAGAGTTAGATTAAATAAGCAAGATTAAGACATTTCTATACGCACGCACGCGCAAGCTTGGTTTGGACGAGTAAATCATGTACGATCTTGCACAATTAGCCGAGCAATTGAGGAGGTAACATCGTCTTAGCCTTCTCTTCATGTTAATATGATCATGCTAGATTGATTATGTTCAGTTCAGGTCCTTTGATTCATGTAAAATCAAGTTATGTTCGGTTTTGTGCCCTATTAAGCCATGACCGAGTGATGTCCATTTTTATTTGGCAACTCCTGAGTGATTTATGCTGTAATAGTCATTTTTGGATATTTTATGATTTATCATGTCAAGAAATCGGGTTTTACTCGGGTAGAATTAAAGATTCGGATTTTTGAAGTTAATCGGCTTAAAAACGAATTTATAGGTTCTAAGCATGTGTTGACCGAGATTAGTAGCCTAAAAATCATGATAAATCTTATACAAGAGGACTGTTAAGTTTCAGCAAGTTTCGAGTTGAAATGCTCGGTCAAGTTGAACGTGATTTTAGCCTAATTTCACTACCGAGCCATCTTAATATATAGCCAAACACTCCCGAGCACTTATCGCATTTTTAGTCATTTCATGTCATATTAGGATCAGCCATATCATAGTTGCCGGAAGAAGTCGCCGGACGGCCGGCGAAGGGCCGACTGTAGGGACTGCCCGCACGTAGCAGTGCAGTGCCAGCCGGCAGTGGCCTGCTTGCACGCAGCAGCACGAGCACGCCAGCAATGCGTCGTGCACAGCCTG